TTTTCTTTCCTCTTTTTGATGAGGTTAGTTAGGTGCTCCTCAATTTTATTTAATCTTTCAATTAACCAGCTTTTTGATTTATTAATCATTTGAATTGTTTTGCTCGTCTTGATTGACTTAATTTCTGCTCTAATCTTTATGATTTCTTCCCATCTTTGGGCTTTGGGTTTGGTGTGCTCTTCCTTTTCTAAATGTTGGAGGTGCAACATTAGGATGTTTATTTGTTCCCATTCTGTTTTCCTAATGTGTGAGCTCACAGCTATAAATTTCTGTCTAAGAACTGCTTTCATTGCATCCCATAAATTCTGATAAGTTGTCCTTGAATTTTCATTGAATTGTAGATATTGTTCAATTTCTTGTTTAATTTCATCTGTGACATTTTGTTGCTGAGTACGGTGTTGTTTAATTTACATGTGTTTATGGGGTTTTTTTGGTTTCTTTTGTCATTTATTTCCAGTTTCATTGCACTGTGGTCAGATAATATGCATAAGATAATTTCTGTTTTCTTGCATATGCTTACGCTTGACCTATGGACTAGTATGTGGTCTGTTTTAGGAAATGACCCATGTGCAGCTGAAAAAAATCTATATTCAGCTGTAGTTGATTGGAACACTCTGTATATGTCCACTAAGTCCATTTGTTCCAAGCTATGGTTTAGTTCTGCTACTTCTTTGCTAATTTTTGTCTGCTCAACCTATCTTTTTGGGATAAGGGTCTCCTGTTAAGGTTGGTATTGGACATTAGATTTTTCATGTCCATTAAGATTTGTCTTATATATTTGAGTGCTCCCATGTTTAGTGCATACATATTTATAAGTGTTACATCTTCCTCTTGAATTTTGCCTCTAATCAGTATATAGTGGCCTTCTTCATTTCATTTGATCATTCTTGGTTTGAATTGAGACTGTCTGAGAACAGGATTGCTACCGCTGCTTTTTTCTGAAATGCTGGGGCATGTAGTATTGTTTTCCATCCTTTGACTTTCAGCCTATGAATTTCTTTGAGTTAAGTGTGTTTCTTGTATATAGCATATTGTTGGATTTTTTTTTCCTGATCCACTGTGGCAGTCTGTTTCTTTTAATTGGTGCATTGAGTCCATTTACATTGATGGTTATAATTGAGATATATTGACTTATGATTGACATGTTATTTACCTGCTGTTGTTTATTCCTTTTCCTCCTGTGTTTGTTGGCCCTATTTAGTGGGTTCCTCCTTTTCTCGTTCGTGGAATTCTGATCATTTTGGTCCCTCTCTAGAACATCTTTTAGGAGTCTGTGTAGGGTTGGCTTTGTCATCATGAAATTCTTTAGTTATTCTTTGTCATGTAAGTATTTCACTTCTCCTTCAAACTTGAAAGAGAGTTTTGCAGGGTATAGTAGTCTGGGCTGGAATTTGTTTTCATAGAGGACTTGAAGTACTCTGCCCATGCTCTTCTTGCCTTCATTATTGGTGCAGAGAAGTCTCCCGTTATTCTGATGGGTTTTCCTTTAAATGTGATCTGCGGAGCCAGCAGGATAGCTCAGTGGTCTAAAGCAACTACTTAGGCAAGTTTAGGCAAGCCTAGGGACCATGGTTCGATCCCTGACACCACATTCCACACCAGCCCCACTCCCAGCATGGGCTGAGCCAGCCGCAAAAAAAATAAAATGAAATAAAAAATAAGTACAAAAAAATGAATGTGATCTGCTTCTTTTCTCTAGCGGCTGTCAGTATATTGTTCTTGTGCTAGATTTCTGGGATCTTGACTATTATATATCTCGGTGTGTTTTTAATTGGGTTGATGTTCTTTGGAGTTCTGTATGCTTCAGTTACTAAATGTCAGATTGTTTCCCCATATTTGGGAAGTTTTCTGCTCCTTCTTCTGCCCATATTCTTTTTATATCACTTGTATTGATTCTTTCTCATTAGTCTCACGTTGTTCATCTTGGCATCATCTCACAGGTGATGAATTATTCTTTCCTGCATCCTAGTTGTTCTTAAGAGGTCTTTTCTTACCTTTTCACTAGGTGCGACGGCATCTTTAAGATCTGAAACTCTATCGTCACTTTCACTGGAACAGTTTTGCAAGCTTGCAGTTGAGATTTTAAGTTCCTCTATATCTCTCTGAGTCTGCTTCACCCGATCTGTTTCTTTCCTATATTGCTCATTCAAGGATTCCATCATTTTTCTAATCTCCTCTATTTTTTTATCAGTGTCTTGAGAAGCAGTTATTAGTTCTTTTATTATAGTTATCCTTTCTTTTTTACTTTAGAGATTATTTCTGATCTGATTTCCTCTATATGCTTCTGCGTTTGATTCTTTACTTCAGATGCTAATAAGTCAAGATTTCTTTTTTTTATTTCAGGGATTATTTCTCATCTGAGTTCCTCTATGCCTTTCTGCAGTTGTTTCTTTACTTCCAACACTATTATTTCAGAGATTTCAGGTCTGCGAGTCCCGTTTTCTTCTGTGCTAGTGTCTTCTGCACTTGTTCTGGTTGTGCCCAGGGCCTGAGATTGCATTTTGCTCCTTCTCTTTGTCATTTTGTGTATCACTGTCTTCTGAACTTTGGTGTAGAGCTTTGATGCAGTTATAACCTTAGCACCTACTTAAGTTCTTACCCAAGAGAGATTATATGATTAAGACAGTTATAGTTTTGTATTTACAGAACTGCAATAAGGAACACTAATGATGGGTAATGACATTTAGCAGTTGACAAACTTCTGTAACTAGTGAGTTTGTATTTTAGACAGTAAAAGCAA